GGTGGCGAATCCTTGGAATTCTCTACCCCGGATGCTTGTTGAATCTCATTCATTGTTCAAGATAGAAATTGATGGATTTCTCGAGTCCAGTTGGTCAAGGGATATGGAGAAATGTGAGAAAGTGGCATTGAGGTAGATGATCAACCATAATCAAGATTGGCAGAGTGGGATCGATTGGCAGAATGGCCTAATCCTGCTCCAATGCATGCATCCCAGCAAGAAATTCAATGAGCCTAGTGCCTGTTTAGTCTCATTATCGAAACCTGGCTTTTCTGGAAAAGTGGTCTTCCCCTCAAGCTCTACTCAGGATAACCTGGGCTATGTGCAGTTTAAACCGTCACACATAGGAACAGAATTAGGCCATTCAGCCCACCAGGTCTGCTCCACCATTCAATGAGATCATGGCTAATCTGATAATCTCCGACTCCACTTTCCTGCCTTTTCCCCATGACCCTTAACCAGTGGTCCCCAAAGCGATTCACGTAAATCGTCAACCAATATATAAATTTTTATCAGAGGGGGCTGTGGGGAAGGGTGAGACACAAATTACACACTGTTCCTACAGTAGGTCCAAAGACTGCTGCCCTTCACCACCTCCTCCTAATCGTCCCAATGCCCTGTCCTTCCATACTATCTGCCCTCTATCATAGGGCATACTCTGCTTCACCTTGGGAACCAGTAACCTGTTTTTGCACACCAGGTTATTGACTCCAGCTTGATCTGCCAGAGGTCCATTTGTGGCCATCTCTTAATGGGGCACTTATTTCACTCCAGGGAGGATTTTCCACCAGAAATTGGAACATTTATCAGGTTAACCAACACTTCCCCTATTGCTGTCACCTCAAATCAAGCTCCTTTTATTCATTCACGCAACAAAACCCAGGAATCATCCCGATTTCTCTTCCCGTTATCCTGAACATTGACCAAATGTGACTCATATTCTACATTTGGTTGAATTTAAATCAAAGGACCAGTTTGTTTTCTTTATCTCACATCCAGACCTTCCAGATCCTAAACCAGAACTAATAAATTAATCCATCAGTGAGGTTTCCATATTCTGTTGGTCAGCGTTGCCAAATGGTTTTTAGTTCTTCTGCCTGATGTTATTTTGTCTTATCACTAGAACACACTGCGGATTGAGGATTGATTGGGAAACATGGGAAGCCACAAGTCCCTTGTGGCAAACCACATCTGTTTTGATCTCCCAGAGTGAGAACTGTTCTTGCTAACTAGGTTCAGGACAAGTCAGGAGACCCATGTTGTCAACCTCCAACATTGGGGCCTCAGGAAAAACTCCTTATGAATTTGGAGAGAGAGACAGGGGGACAGACAGAGAGAGGGGCAGACAGAGAGAGAGAGAGGGGCAGACAGAGAGAGAGAGAGGGACAGAGAGAGACAGAGAGAGGGACACAGAGAGACAGAGAGAGCTGGGGGAGACAGAGAGAGCGAAGGGGAAGGGAGGGGTGGGGGGAAGAGAGAGAAAGAGTGAGAGACAAGCACACACACAAATAAACAAAAACCAGGCCACACATCACTGTGGAACATCTACTCTACAGACCCAAACCTTCAACGCAAGTGTGGAGACTTTCACTTGGTGACTGAGATTTCTCTAAATAAATAATGGTGCTACGTTTATGTTGCTGGAGTGCTAACCCTAATCCTGGGAGCTGGATAAATAATCCAGAGAATGAAAACTTGAATTTTTAAATAAACCTGGAAATTTAAAGGGTGGCAAGTCAATAATTACAAAGGTGCTGGACTGTCACCCGCCTGGTCCCTTTGGGTAAAGATATCTGCAGTCCTCACCTGGCCTGATCCAAATCCCATACGACTGCCAGGATCTCCAAGCTTGCTTCATCAAACTGGTACTGCAGCCATTCAAACTCCAGCTTCCTGAAGGAGGTCCTGGAGTAGGACCCTGGTGGATGGGTGAGCACAGGACCCGCCATTGACTGCTACATTGGTGGAGGCAATGTTGGCAAGGTAGGCCCAACAGTGGAAGATGGCACCTGAGCATTGATAACTTCAACATTGGTTAGGTCTGGCACTGGCAGCAGTGAAGTGATGGTGCCAGGGTTATTGGCTCTCTTTAAGCTATAATTTTTATCATTATACTTAAACTATTCTAAATGGGCCGGAATCATGACAGTGGAAGCTTTTCATTGTATTTTTCACTGTAAAATACACATGACTATAAAATCATTCATTCACTCACTATCACAGACACACAACCTTACCAACAGAAAGCTGATAGATAACATTTCCTAAACTACAGCTTACTTTGTAGAGATTCAGACACAGAGTACTGAGTCTGTGCAAACTCTAGGATTCTATTACAGACCTAGAGGATGCTTTTCAACCAGTCTCCAATGTTGCTAAACAAGGACTAATTCTGCGATTAGGTGCTTCCAGTGTAACAGCTAAGGCTACCATCAGCTGATTACACCTGGGCTCAAAGCTCACGAGGTCTCCATTGAAAGCTTGTACCTTGTGTTCAGATCACTATGTGGTCATTCTCACCTTAATCCACACCTGACAGCCCCATCTGAGACTGATGCATTCTTCCAACTCTGGTCTCGTCAAACTCGGATGGGCATCGCATCACCACTGCTGGCCGTGATTCTAAACTCATCCAAAACAGGGACAGCAGCAAGCTACATGGGCCCTCTAACCCTGCTCTGCCAATAAGATCATGACAGATTTCAATAGTGCCCTCAACTTCATTTTCCTGGCTGTCTCCCAGTTCCCTTTGACTGTGTGTTCATCAGAAATCTATTACCTCGGTCATAAAAATATTTAAGGAGCCTGCTTCCACTGGGGGAGTAACTCTGGTTCCACGACCCTCTGAAAGAAAAGAATTCTCATCTCCATCTTCAATGACAACATTCTTTCAGCGTGTACCCTGTCAAGTCCTGTCAGGATCTTATATTTCAATAAGATTGCACCTCACCACACGCCACACACCACACAACCACCACCACCACCCCCACCCCCACCCCCATTTCTTCTAGACTCTAATAGGTACAGGCCTAGCCTTTTTTTTAAATTCATTTTTGGGATGTGGGCGTCACTGGCTAGGCCAGCATTTATTGCCCATCCCCAGTTGCCCTTGAGAAGGTGGTGGTGAGCTGCCTTCTTGAACCGCTGCATTCCTCCTGCTGTGGGTTGACCCACAATGCCATTAGGGAGGGAATTCCAGGATTTTGACCCAGCGACAGTGAAAGAATGACATTATATTTCCAAGTCAGGATGATGAGCGGCTTGGAGGGGAACTTGCAGATGGTGATGTTCCCATGGGTCTGCTGCCCTCGTCCTTCTACATGGAAGTGGTTGTGGGTTTGGAAAGTGCTGTTTAAGGTTCTTTGGTGAATTTCTGAGGTGCATCCTGTAGATAGCATACACTGCTGCTACTGAGTGTCGGTGGTGGAGGGAGTGGTTATTGATGGATGGGCTGCCAATCAAGCGGGCTGTTTTGTCCTGGATGGTGTCAAGCTTGGCATCCATTCAGCCAAGTGGGGAGTATTCCATCACACTCCTGACTTGTGCCTTGTGGATGGTGGAGGGGCTTTGGGGGGGGTGGTCAGGAGGTGAGTTACTTGCCGCAGTATTCCTAGTCTATGACTTGGTCACTGTGTTTACATGGTGAGTCTACTTGAGTCAATGTTAATGTTGATAGGGGGGGCTTCAGTGATGGTAACACCATTGAATGTTAAGGGGTAATTGTTAGATTGTCTCTTATTGGTGATAGTCACAGTCTGGCCATCACCAATAAGAGACAATCCAACCACAACCCCTTGATATTTCCTTACAGGATAACGATCCCCCCTCACTCTGGGAATCAGTAGAACGAATCTTCTTGCAACAGCTTCTCATGTAATTATGCTTTTCTTCAGTAAGGAGACCAAAACAGAACATCAAACTCTTTCTGCCTTTATCTCCTGCTTTGAGACACTTCCTAAAACCTTCCTCTCGTCTTCAGACAATTGCTGAGAACATAAAATGCACCCGATGCTAAAGGTTCTCATAACAGAAACTTCCAGGGGAGAGCTTTAAGTTCGGAAAGAATCTGAGTGTTCGCTCTGGAGAACAGCTCACTTGGAATGATTCCAGCAGCTAATGTGCTGTGTTACAGATCAGCTCATTGCTTTCTGCATGATGAGAGTGTTGGCCATGGACAGAGAGGTTGTTAGCTACATAAATGTCACAGGGAAAACTGTCAGCTTTAAGTCTTTCAGCACTCCGTGTTTTATCAGCTCAGTCTAGGTATCAGGATTTATGTCTGAGGCTCCACATTCCCTCCAAGAACAACACAACCCCACCCCAGACTCCCAAACATATTATTCCAAAAACTCAAAGAGAAAGCCTACTTCCCTCAATCTGCACTACTGCTCTGCCTCACACACAAAAACACAGAAGGTTTGTTTGCACTGAGTCAGGTCTCCCTTAGAGCATGGTCAACAGTCACAATATATACACCCAGCAATCTGTTAAATGAAATCTACATTACCTGCTGGAGCTGTCTATAAGCCTCACAAAAACACAGTTATGATTTACTCCTTGGTTCTACAAAACAAGGTCATGACCATAGCACTGACCTGCAACTCAACACTGATGTCAAAGCTCAGCTGATTCAAGAGGAAGTAATAAATTTGATCAAGACAATTGTTGTTTCTTTTCTCTCCTTTAAATTTACTCGCTAAGAAACACATAAGGTAACATAACAGGAGGCCATTCAGCCCATCATATTATGTTTGTACAGGCCAAAACTAACTTCCCATCTAGAGGAAAAAACCAGCAACAAGAACTGCAATATTCAGAAATGAATAAACTGGAGCTCTGTTTTGAGTTATACAAGATGAACTGGATCCATCATTTGCCAGTTTGGCTGCCGTTTCCTGTTTAGGTAATCACTGACTCTAAGCTGGAGGCCAGGGCCTAGGTTCATGAGAAAGTACTTGCATTTACATAGTGCCTTCCAGGCCCTGAGCATACGCACTTACCGAGGAGATGTTTCATGATGGCCTGGTTATGGTCCCACAGTTTGTTGAAGGTTCCCCACCGTGACTTTCCATCAGGCAGTGGGTTACCTTTAATCCAGCCACCACAGGCATAATTGTAGAAGTTCTGGCAGGGGTCAACAGATCGATCCAAGGATTTGAGGACGTTGCTGGCAACGATGACACAGGACTCCGTCAAACAAACCTTCGGGGTATCTGAAGGGGAAAGCAAAGAGATCTAATGGGTTCAAAATGTTGCAACCAGATCCCTGGGCATTGCAGGGGCACCCACATCGAACTTTCAGCAAACCAAGATTCGTGTGTAACTCTTATTGGGGCCCAGGTAAAAGGAGGGCACTGTCTGTGAATCATAGAATCAGAATCATAAAACCCTACAGCGCGTAAGCAGGCTATTCGGCCCATTGAGTCAGCAATGACCCTCCAAAGACCATTCCACCTACACCGACCCTCCTACCCTATCACACTGCATTTCCCATGGCTAATCCACTCAGCCTGCACATCCCTAGACACTACGGTCAACTTAGCATTTCCCATGGCTAATCCACTCAGCCTACACATCCCTAGACACTACGGTCAACTTAGCATGGCCAATCCACTTAACCTGCACACTTTGGACTTTGGGAGGAAACCCACACGGGGGGAACATGCAAACTCCATACAGACAGTAGCCCGAGGCTGGAATCAAACCTGGGTCCCAGGCGCTGTGAGGCAGCCGTGCTAACCACTGTGCCACCGTGACATTTGGGAAATTTGGTTGGCACGGATGCGTTGGACCGAAGGGTCCGTTTCCTTGCTGTATGACGACTCTATGCCTGTTTGAGTAAAGGCCATTTCTCTGATAGTGCTATGGCCCTGGGCAGGACACTGTGTGGGGACAATGAGGCTCCCAGTGCCTCTAGGCAACAACAGTCTCTACAGCTGCCACCCAGTCTCCCCTTGAGTCAACACTGCAGCCTGGACCCTCCTCTCTGCCGGGCACCCGTCTCTAGACCCAACCTTATGGGGAGGAGATACTGCTTCAACATGGCCCATTACCCCTCGGCAGGGCTAGGTCCTGATAAAAGGCAGGCAGCTCCAGAAGGGACATGTGTCCTATGCAACGTGATAAACAGGCACAAATTTAACAGCACTGTGTGTGTAGCCACCCAGCCATGGGCTCCAGGGGTCAAGAAAGCAGCTCGTCACCACCTTTGAGGGTAATTAGGGATGGGCACTAAATGCTGATCCAGCCAGCAATGCCCATATCTTTTCCCATGGCTACTCCACCAAACCTGCACATTTTGGACTGTGGGACGAAACTGGAGCACCCGGAGGAAACCCACGCAGATACGGGGAGAATGGGCAAACTCCACACAGACAGTTGCCCGCGGGTGGAACTGAACCCAGGTCCCTGGCGCTGTGAGGCAGCAGTGCTAACCACTGAGTCACTGTGCTGCTCTACTGGTGCAAGACATTCGTAATAAGAATTTACTTGAGATGGTTCACAGGAACTGTGGAAATGAGGGCATCCAGTAAGTGGTCCAAGGTGTGCCTTGCTCATTCAGGCCTACCAGGGGCAAAACCCTCCAATTCAGGAAGGAGGTCACCTTGCATTCAACATGGTGAGGGAGGTGGGCATGTGCCAGCTGTAAGGCAGTGAAAAACACTAACATTCTGCAGTGCCCCACATTGCCAAGGCGATAAAGCTGCACCTGTGCTGTTTCAGTAACCTGAGTCATCTTCCATTTCATCTGGAAGCCTAAGATAGACTGGGTCTGCATGAACTCACTCCATGTACAAAACTCTGGCTAAGTGTGGGAAGAACGTGCCCAACATTGTCCCCATGCTGATGGCCACCTTTGTGTGTGGCTGCATCAAGCTGTGCATAGACCATCGGTATGCAAGCACCAAGTGTCACTACGTGCTAAGGTTCTACCTGTCCCCGGTGTCGCAAAGGATGGGACTGGCCTCATTGCTAGGGAATACTCCAAGTAGTTGGGCTGTTCTGTATCACCTGTCTTTTGTGGAGGAATTTGAGAAGATAAACACCATTGACCCTAAGTCCATCAGGCAGTCATCAGCACGTAGTGTCCTCGAGACCCTTCGGGAAAAGGAGAGGGTGGATCCTGTCGAATGGTTCCCTGTACAGACTGCCAGTCATTTGGCAGAATGCCTTGTCACCAGAACTTTTCAACAAGCTCCAGGACATTGCTCGGTTGGTGGTGAGAAGGGCTCTGCCTGTGAGATTCTTCATGCACACCTGGACTCTCTGCACCACTGTGCACTGCCCTCAAAGTGGCTGCGGAGGGGACGAGACTGTCACACACCTCATTCTGGAATGTGTCTATGCAAAGGAAGCCTGGAGGGAAATGCAGTGGTTTGTGCTGAGGTTCATTCCGAGCAGCTCCGTGATGTGGGACTCTGTGCTCTACGGTCTGTTCCCTGGTGCACCTGGGGGACCATCAGCTCGGTGAAAGACGCTCTTTGGTCTGCCCAAATCTTGTTGGTCTTCCAGAACAAGGAGTTGACCCCAACTGAGTGTTGCAGACTGGCACATTCCAGGGTCCAGGACTACGTGCTGAGGGACACAATAAAGCTTGGGGTAGCTGCTGCCAAAGAGCATTGGGGAAAGACCACTGACTGAGGTCTTCCAGCGGAAGGTAAATGGGGGTTTATTCAGGTATTGGACCCTCCCAGTACTTCAAATGTATGTAAACAGTAGTATTGTATGGGTAAGAGAGGTCTTTGGTTTTTTTTTTAAGATAGAGTCAAAGTCCAATTTTTTGTTTGTTTACTTAATATGCCACTGTACAGAACTGAACTGCTTTTGTGACAATGTATATATACACAAAGAGATTTTTAATAAGTATATTTTTGAAATTTAAAAAAAGACAAAGCTGGATCACAAATCTGTCCCCGGCAAACACTAAGCTGTATTTACATAGCAACTTCAATGTAGAAAGATGTGCCACAGTGTCTCCCCACGATGATCACAATTACATTTCAATGAGTCCAAGCCAATCACTTCCCTCTCTCAAAGGGGCTCATTCTTTCCACCACAAAAAGTCTGAATTTAACCCTTTCAGTCACAGGCTGCCGTTTCCAACTTGAGTGCTCCAGCCAAAGTGAACTGTCTTGTTAGGGTCTACATTATCTCCTCCCTTCAGAATCCACCATCACGTCATTTCTCAAAACTGAGTAAAAACAGTCTTCCTCCGTTCACTACCAAAATCCTCTGACAATTGTTACAGTGCAAGAGGAGGCCAATCTGACCATCATAGAGTCATACAGCACTGAAACAGACCCTTTGGTCCAACCAGTCCATGCTGATCAAATTCCCAAGCTAAACTAGTCCCACCTGCCTGCGCTTGGCCCGAATCCCTCCAAAACGTTTCTTATTCATTTACTGATCCAAATGTCTTTTAAATTTTATAACTGTACCTGCCTCCAACACTTCCTCAGGAAGTTCATTCTACACATGAACCACTCTGCATGAAAAAATTGCCCCCATGTCTTTTTTAAATCTTTCTCCTCGTGTCCTAAGAATATGCTCTCTAGGCTTGAAATCCCCCACCAAGGGAAAAGACCCTTGTTATTCACCTTACTTATGCCCCTCGTGATTTTATAAAGCTCTATGAGGTCACCCCTCAACCTTCTACGCTCCAGTGAGAAAAACCCCAGTCTGTCCTAATAACTGAAACCCTCCGGTGCCAGCAACATCCTGATAAATCTTTTCTGAACATTCTCTAGTTTAATAATATCCTTTCTATAACAGGGTGACCAGAACTGCACTCAGTACTCCAGAAGAGGCCTCCCCTGCCCTCACCATGTCTACACCATCTCTCTGAATAAGCATGATTTAGTGCCATTCTCCCTCTAATTCTCCATTACCCAGAACATTTTCTGTTTAAATAATTACCCAATGCCCTCAAGTACCTCGATTAAACCAGCTTCCACTACAGTTCCAGGCAGTGTTCCTGACCTGAATCACTCACTGTACACTCTCACATCACATTAAATTCTTTCCACAAATCACTTTAAATCCTCTCCCTCATGTTCTGTTTATGAGTGGGAAGGATTTCTTCCTGTCTATTTAGTCAAACGTTAGTCAAATCTCCTCTTAGCCTTTTCTTCTCCATGGAAAACAAAGGCAATCTCTCTGATTTATCCTCATGACTGAAGTTTCTTATTCTCTGAAACCTCTCCCGCACTCTCCCCAATGCATTCACATCCTTCCTAAACTGTAGTGTCCAGAACTGTCAAGGTTTAAATAGTCTCTTATACAAGGTCAGCATAACCTGCCTGCTCTTGTACTTGATTTCAATATTAACAAAAACTAGAATACTGTCGGCTGTATGAAGTGCACTTGGCACCTGTCCCACCACCTTTAATGGTGTGTACACAGATACACCCAGGTCTCTCTGCTCCTGACTGCCCATTAGAGTTACACCCTTTACTTTATACTCTCTCTCCCTGTGGGCCTGTCACCAGCGGTGTCCAACAGGGAGCGGTTCTGGGTCCCCTTTTGTTTGTCATTTATATAAATGATTTGGATGAGAATATAGAAGGCATGGTTAGTGAGTTTGCAGACGACACCAAAATTGGTGGCACAGTAGACAGTGAAGAAGGTTTTTTAAGATTACAAAGAGATCTTGAAAAAAAGGGTCAATGAGCTGAAAAATGGCAGATGGAGTTCAAGCTAGAGAAATGCAAGGTATTGCATTTTAGTACAACAAACAAGGGTAGGGCTTATACAATCAACGGTGGGGCCTTGGGTCATATTGTAGAACAGAGGGACCTAGGGGTGCAGGTACATCATTCTTTGAAGTTTGCATCACATACTGACAGGGTGTTTAAAAAATACTGTTTGAGATGCTTGCCTTCATTGCTCAATTTTTGACTGTAAGAGTTGGGAAGTCAAGTTATAGAGTCATAGAACTGTACAGCATGGAAATAGACCCTTTGGTCCAACTTGTCCATGCTGACCAGATATGCGAAATTAACCTTGTCCCATTTGCCAGCATTTAGCCCATTTCCCTCCAAATACTTCCTGTTCATATATGCCTTTTAAATGTTATAATTTTAACAGCCTCCACCACTTCCTCTGGTGGCTCATTCTATACATGCACCACCCTCTGTGTGGAAAAGTTGCCCATTAGGTCTCTTTTAAATTTTTCCCCTCTCACCTTAAACCTATGCCCTCTAGTTCTGGAATC